GAAGCTTCAGTTCTGACCAGTCATATTAAGTAATAATAATTTGCTCATTTCCACTGAAAGTGGAGCAAGGATACAGAAGTGAAGCCTGTCAGCACCCTCTTTTTGGCTCCAGCGTGGAAGGATCCAAAACTGTGATTTGTTTTGTTTTGTTTTAAGGGTGCATAAATGTAAAAGGCATAGTAGGTGCTTTAAGCCTTATGGAGATTTAAGATACTCTTTTTACCCTCAAGATCCTTGGAACGCAGCCTTCAGCATGTCATGTAAAACTTGTGTGGCTCTTGAGTTGTCTAAGGCTGCATGCCAGTCCTGGAGAATATATTATCCAGGTTACTTGAGGGACTGTTTCTCTCCTGTTGTTTCTACCCATCCAATCCGATCAGGCAGGCTGGGCATGCTTCAAGTCCCATCAGCTAAGGAAAGCTGGTTGGCAGGGCCTAGAATGTATGCCATTTCTGCCATAGCACCCAACCTATGGAACATTCTCCCTCCAAAGATGAGGATGGCCCTGACCCTGCCGACCTTTTGTAAGATCCTAAAGACCTGTTTGTGCACCCAGGCCTAGGGCCCTGAATGTGTGCAGGGCCCGTCTTTTGGTTGTGTCAGTGATTGTAGGTTATGATATTTTCTCAGCTGCTATGTATTTTCATTTTTGTATTGTTATTTTTTAATTTTAATATTGTTTGCCGCCCAGAGTCTTTGCTGAGATGGGCAGCTATGCAAATTGAATGAATGAATAAATAAATACATAAATAAATTGAAAATAACTGTTATGTTCAGTTCCAGTTGCCCCTGGAGAGGTATGCTAGGATTGTAGTTGTATAGGTTATCTAGCTATTGAACTGCATAACTGCAATCCTATGTAAAATTAAATAACATTGCTAATTATCTCTAGACTGTATTTGAGGAATATACAGCATATGACTGCAATTTTTATTTAATTACTGGTTTGTCAACTCTCATAATTTTTACAGTTCCTGTCAATAAAGCTTGTGCTTTGAAAATTGGATTGAAAAATGTTTTAGTGTCAAGTAGCAATCCTATTTTGTACCAAAGGACAGAAACACTGCCATTCTCTTACAAAAGAAAAGTTAGAAAAACAATATTCATTTTAGGATTTTTAATTATGAAAAGCAGGATAAAGTTGTTATAAATAAAAAGCTATTATGAATATCACTGTTTTCTTATATTAGGTCCCATTCTTGTTATCTCTCTTAGATGTCATTGGATGGATCAAAAAATGAATAATTATTAGAAGTATAATTACAATATGTACAGTACTGTGCAAAGGTTTTAGGCAGGTGTGAAAAAATGCTGTAAAGTAAGAATG